TTTCTTTATTACGTCTGTAACATTCTATTTTCAAATTAAACTTTAAAATTATGGCCATCTCTGTACAATGAGGTCATACGTCAAAAGGAAAACACATACAGAACCTGATTGTCATGCCCTTGTTAATGTCTAATTAATTATATAATGGCCATTTTACGAACACAACAAAAGCCCTCAGACTATGTCATGAAGGGATGATGTCTTTCCGAGGTTGAGGTTGCTTGGCATCAAAATCATCTTAAATGTCTCCCAAGGTGTGGTAATATCAATGACTCATAATGAACTGTCCTTTCATTGGTAAACCAGTTACATGATTTCCAGGTTTAAATAAGTTATTAGAGCCTGACATCATTTGTTTACTGCAAACAAATAGCAATAAATTACATAAATTATGATAAATAGCATGCCTATTAAAGCAAATCAGTGGGACCAGAAATTACCAAAGGTCATAACAAAGACAGGTTGAGTATTATTAAACAAAAGTTTCCATTTACTCAAGGGCAATGATTATCTGAAGGTCAGGCAGCTTTACCCAAATACAACTGGAGACAACTGAGGCAACTGTGAACCAGTAAAAACTCCTCAGAGGGGTCACTATCTCAGTATCTAGAACTTGGCAGTCTATGGAGCCAAAGTGAGGCCACGTTCAAAGACTGAATGGAAGATAGCAAGGAGGGCTGCAGGAGGACACAACTAGGAAACTAGGGGCCAGGTGCCAAGAAGGTCAGCCAAGCAAATAAGTAACAGGCAACTGGCTACACTGTCTGTCTGTCTGTCTGTCTGTCTGTCTGTCTGTCTGTCTGTCCATCTGTCATACTGGGGACTGAGTCCAGAGCTTTCACACAGAAATACATCTCCAATCCTTTTCTTGGTATAAGATCTCATTGAGTTTTGCATGTGGCACTCAAACTTACAGTCCTGCTCAATTTTCCTAGAGCTGGGATTCCAGGCATGTGCCACTATGCCCAGCAACTGGTTACTTTTCTGAAGTTCCCTTTGCTCTTCTAAAATGAGACTGGTGAGCTAGAAGGTCTAAAGCCTCCATTTAAATAGCACACACCCATGTTTCTGTATGAGTGACACTGTACAGAATGTAACAATGGCAAAGGGCACAAGGGCTAGGCCAACCTGGACCCCATCTTGGGTCCACATGAGACTGGACAGGTCCCTCAGCCTGGCCAAGCCAGTGTCAACTCAAGCCTGGAATAGCATGGCCAATAGGCAGCCACCTGTTGGGAGAAGCCCAAGGGTAGATCCAGCACTTATAACTGCCTTCATTTTTCCCTAAATAAGAGCATCTGGAATAAATTTCATGCTCACATGGACATAAGCAGCATACATTGTATTCATTGTGCTCTATCACATGTTGTACATGCTGTACAGGAAAAAAAAATGTTCTCTCCTGAAAGTCTACATGTCTCTCTGCTTTGAGTCCACCCTTCCTGCTACACATTCCCTTGGACAGTAGGGGAGGCCAGCCGAGACCAGATACCAAAAGGCAGGTAGTATACATGCTAGCAAAGCAGATTCTCTGCATCCACTTCTCTTCTGAAACATCTTACTTCTTTGAAGGCTCTCATGCTAACCAGATTAGACTAGGGCTTAAGAAACATGCCAGAAAATGGGCCTTCTGAGTGAAAACTCAAGGGAATACTCCAGTATGAAGCAAACTCTTGTGTTTCTTCACCTTCCACCTCTCTTTTCAGTCCCTGTCTCACACCTGCTCTAGTATCCTCCTCTTCTTCTCCTGACCACCCCCCCATCCAGTACCCCACCATTCATCCCATAGACTTCAGAGCATCCCTGTGCAAACCACTGCTTCCAGTCAGCTCAGGGTGAAGAACCTACACTCAGAATTAATTCACACTAAATGTCACAAATGAACTCAGCCTTTCAGGTACTTGCATTTTAGAAGACATCTAGGCAGAAAGCATTATGCAAAAGGAATAAATCACCAGTGATAGGTTTTCAGATCAATTGGACCAAACTGTTAAGGAATGAGGCCATGAGCTTTTCAACTCTCCTAACAAGTGTAGATATCTAATTGATAATTCAGTGGAAAATTGTGGCCACTGTTAATTGTGGCCAATTGCATCTTCCGATGTTTAATTTCTGGCTGGCTTGTTTGGGGAACATGTGGTTAAGAGGACATTTTATGAGTATGTGCCATACTCATTTTTTTCCTTATATTTTCACCATCAGTCTCCTGATTTGGTCAAGTATGAATATATCATCTACATGTGTGCAAACCCAACTGCATTTAACTTAAATCTAGATTAGGCTAAACAAAAATTGTCCCAATTCATCAGTGTTGGATTTGTATGCTTGTCAATTACCTGGCCAAAGGTATTCTTTAAAAAATTAGTAGGGGCTGGGGATTTGGCTCAGGGGTAGAATGCTTGTCTAGCAAGCTGGAAGCCCTGGGTTTGGTCCTTGGCATCAAAAACAAAAACATAAACCTCCCCTGCAAATCAATTCAACCAAAAAAAAATATAGTAAAGTAAAAAAATTAGTAGTCTACACAAATCTGGGTGAGTTATTCCACTTTTAATATGCTATCTTTTGCTCTTTAAAAGTTTGCAAGATTCTCAGCATTGGCATTAATGGTGTTTTGGAGTCAGAACATTTTTTGGAGGGAGACTACCCCATGTGCTGTGGGACGCTCAGAAGCACCATGTTGCCCAGGAAGACACTCACAGGTAAGGATAATGAAAACTGTCTCCATATACTGTCAAATATAGCATGGGAGGCAAAATCACTCCCATTTAACTGAGTCAAAGATTAAAACAAGGAACCCAATTCAGAGCTGGAAAGAAAAGGTTAACAGCTGTTTTCACAAGAGTAATAATGTGGTATGCAGTTCACAAGTATCCCCCATGCACTAGCGAATGCATAGTTTTATTCTAAGGCAAGCAGCTTCAATTAAAAAGTGATTCAATGAATAAAGTATTTTAAGAGTATTAGATGAATTCCTAAGAACCTAATTTGGAAGTTAATTCTTCTGCCCATTAGTCACAAGATGTGCTTGAAAAAAAAAAAGTTTGTGATACCAGAAAAGAATAAAACTAACTTGTACATATGTATGCAACTTGCTGCATTCAGTTGAGCTAATCTAGCAGACAACTGCAGAACAAAACTTCAAATACAGAAGTATTTTTGCAGGAAACTACTGGAACAGAGAAATAGCACTAACTCTACATTAAGTTACAAGCATTTTTAAACTTTTATTGCATAAAGTGACTGATAATTTTTTAAATTATAATAGGCCTTTAAAAATGTAAAGACCTGCATTTTTCTTAGATCCTACTTTGGAAGTGATGAAGACCTAACGTATATCAGAACAAGAAGCTCTAATGTACTATATTGTACAGTAGTGATACAGTTGTATCTATAATGTATATTTCAATAAGCTAGGATTTTAGAGTTTTTAACCATAAAAAAGTGAATAGATGTTTCTCCTAGTTTAAACATTATACAATGCATCATCATGTATAAAAACGCCATGAGGGAGTGGGACGATAACTCAGCAGCGTACGTGCCTGCCTGGCAAGTGCAAGGTCCAGAGTTCAATCCCCAGTACTAAATAAATAAATAAATGTTTGTATCTATCAGTTAGAAAGCAAATGTAATTACTTTTTTTTTTTCCAAAGGGACTTTTTTTGGTCTTATTTTCACTATTTTCTTTTTTTTTTTTTTTTTTTTGGTACCGGGAATCGAACTCGGGGCCTCGCGCTTGCTAGGCAGGCGCTGCGCCACCGAGCTGTAATTACTTTTTTAAAGGCCTGTACCCTGGCCTTTAAAACTACAGTTTTAACGTGTATTTCCCATTCCTAGGTCGACTGTTTGTTCCATGGTAGCACTTTCTCCTCTGCCCACTCCCAAAGTGCACGGAGTGCCAGTTCGTACACAGCTCCCCAAAATGAAACCCTGCACCCCTGGCTGCTCTTTTCTGGGGCAAACAGAGCATCAGATTCTTTTCCTGGGACCCATAAAGGAAAGAATAACAACACTAAGTTTAAAACAAATTTACAGAGCAGATTAAAATACACTGTGGTTCTAAGTACACTCTTATTCCAAACGCCATCAAGAGCAGTAAACCGACCCACTTTATACTCTTTTTCTCTAGACCTGTGGCTCTCCGGGTGTGGGTCTCTGATCAGCATCACCTGGAACCTATTAGAAAAGCAATCGTTCAGTCCCAACTCCAGGCCTAGACTCAGAGAAAGTCTGGGCACTCGATCCAGCAAGCTGTCACAGCCCTCCAGGTGATTCCGATAGAATCCTAGCGCTGGAGAACAACTGAGTCAGGTCAAGACTATTGCTATAACTACAAATAGGTTGCTTTGTTTTTTTATGGAAAGCAGAGGTGTAATTCTCATTTCATCCTTAAACCTTCTGCAGGGCAGATATTACGGCCACTTTAGGGATAAGAAAAGTGTTCTGGGACGAAATGTCCCTCAGTGTCCCAAAGCTATTAAATGCAGGTGGAAAAAGGCGTTTGTACTCTTCACTACTCACACAAAGCCAGGGGAACTGTTTCTTTGTTTTTGTTTTGTTTCAACGCTTTCAGCTTTCAGCAATCGGAAAGATATACAAATGGGTGCGAGTGGTGTGCAGAAAGCCGCGGGGGTCTCACTCCTGGGACTTGGGGCAAGTCTGTGGCAAGGCTAGCATCCCGTACAGAGCGTGCACTTCTGCAGCGGTCCCTCCTGGCTGGGCCGAGGGCGGCGGGGTTCTGAAAGCCGCTCACCTCTCGGGAGTCCTGCAGCCCCGTCGCCATAGGTGGGCTGCGCCATGGGAGACCCTGCAGCTCCGGCCCAGGGGACCAGTTCACTGGCAGAAACTGGCGCACCCCAAAGCTCTGGGGACATCTAACCCTACACCGCAGCTCCCGGGAGGAGGGCGCGCGCGGTGAACCCGAAACCTCAGAGGACCGCGAGGGGGAACCACCGGTCCCCCGGGGCAGCGAGAAGCGCGCGGGAGGCGCCCGCTGCACTCACCGTGGGGGTCGCTTTTCTCCCGGACCCCGTCCACGCGGCCGTCGGGGTGGATGCGCAGGAAGAAACCTCCGTTTTTGCAGTAGAGCCGCTTCGGGTCCCTGAAGTGGCCGGACGGGAAGGCGCCGCCGTCGCTGCTCTCGGGCAGGGCGGGCAGCGTGGTGATGCTACCGGTGGCCATGGCCCCGCCGGGCTCGCTCCGGGTCCCCCG